GCAGATTACGTGGCAGGCACAGCACTTTGTGAACCTCCATGTGCAGAATTCGTGGCAGGCGCAGCACTTTGTGAATCTCCATGCTCCGTTAGAGGCTCTGGCAGTTGCGTTGTCGCCGGTGGTCGCCGGTCCGTCCCTCCATTGTGATTAGAGTTTTCACTTGTTTCTTGACGTGCTGATGTCGTGGCAGGCGCAGCACTTTGTGAACCTCCATGTGCGGATTTCGTGGCAGGCGCAGCACTTTGTGAACCTCCATGTGCATATTTCGTGGCAGGTGCAGCGCTTTGTGAAGCTCGAGGTGCAGATTTCGTGGCAGGCGCAGCAGTTTGTGAACCTCCATGTGCAGATTACGTGGCAGGCACAGCACTTTGTGAACCGCCATGCTCCGTTGAAGGCTCTGGCGGTTGCGTTGTCGGCGGTTGTCGCCGGTGGTCGCCGGTCCGTCCCTCCATTGTGATTAGACTTTTCACTTGTTCTTGACGTGCAGATGTCGTGGCAGGCGCAGCACTTTGCTCTGTAAACCTCCATGTGCAGATTTCGTGGCAGGCGCAGCACTTTGTGAACCTCCATGTGCAGATCCATGCTCCGTTAGAGGCTCTGGCTGTTGCGTTGTCGCCGGTTGTCGCCGGTGGTCGCCGGTCCGTCCCTCCATTGTGATCATTGTGATTAGAGGTTCACTGTTTCTTGACGTGCAGATGTCGTTGCAAGCACAGCACTTTGTGAACCTCCATGTGCAGATTTCGTGGCAGGCGCAGCACTTTGTGAACCTCCATGTGCAGATTTCGTGGCAGGCGCAGCGCTTTGTGAACCTCCATGTGCAGATTTCGTGGCAGGCGCAGCAGTTTGTGAACCTCCATGTGCAGATTTCGTGGCAGGCACAGCACTTTGTGAACCTCCATGTGCAGATTTCGTGGCAAGCACAGCACTTTGTGAACCTCCATGTGCAGATTTCGTGGCAGGCACAGCGCTAGTTGTGGCTGTACACACATGTCTGCACAATACCTCGTACATCAGCCGTGCACATTACTCTCTCACACCTCTCCCACCCCTCTGTTGTGTAATTCTGATATAATTCCTGACAAGGCCATGTTGTAGAAGCTATTGAGACTCTGACTGCTTTGTGCTTTTGAACTTGAGATTCGTAAAGATTCATATGTGGGGTTTTCCGGTCCTTTAATTTTTGAGAAGTTTCACCCGCATCCTGGCTCAAGAAACGAAGGACAGTCAAGGAGGGAGCGCTGTTTTTTTTTCGACTTTCACCAAAGGTGGGAGCCGTCACACCACGAGTTCCAAAGCGAATGACTTTGGCCAGGTTTTTCCTCGTTTCCTTCTTGGTGAGGTCGAGTGGAAAGAGATGCGCAGGATTTCGCACAGACCTATGCCAAGATCCAGGGTCTCTATGTTTGATCCTCGGCTGTCGGAGACGTTTTTGACACGTGGGTGGGACACGGACACTTGGGGATACATGCTAAATTGTTCAAACAACCAAGCTGTTCAGCAGGATCCAATTATCTTTTTTGTTGCGATAAAGGGTGTTCAATTCAACTTGGAGTGCGTTTTTTTTTCTATGTTTTTCTCCAATTGGAGGTGGGCTCGTGGATAAAAAGGTGCAGTTCCCTGTAGGGAAGGCTGTAGTACGGGAAGGTTCCCATGTAGTAGTTTCTATTTTAAGTTTGCGACCTGCAACGGAAGACTCTAGCAGTTAGAGCTCAAGTGCTAAAAATATGGGTTTTGTAGGTGGACATTTGTTACCAAGAATTCAAGTAAGGATGAGCTCCTCTGAGGAGTGTCCGTGTGCCGAAGGCTATTGGCCACAGTTTGACCGTATTCCTTGGAAAGGAGAGGATGTCCATTTCGGATGCTGTCCTGGACGCGGCATCAGTGCATGTGGCCCACAAAAAGCACCGATCCGAACCTTTGCAGAGGTCAGCTCATCAATATGTTTGATTTGCATCTTGCTGACCACCTTGGTGATTCACTACAGGCAACCTCAACTTTCAAAAATCAAGTGTGGGGATTCTGCCATTGAGAACTCACCACTGGTCCATGATGGCGCCAAGCTGCACGCACCTCACCCGCCGAAGTCAGAGTTGTTTTCAACTTTGCTGAGTTTCTTTATGGCTCTATCCTCTAGGCTGGCTGGTCGCAAAGCAAGGATATGTGTTTCAACTTGTTAAGTGTTGCTCTCGTGCCGAGGCAGAAGTTCCAATGGACCGCTGGTGTGTTAGCCTGGATGATCTCAAACAGTTCAAGCGACTGGTTGGTCAAGCCGTCAGTGAGGGTCGCATTTGTCCTACTGAGAGCCTTGGGCTTTGCATCATATATATACATATATATAATCTAATATGTTTAGTTGAAGGTAGCAACAACTGCAACCAATCTGAAACAACCACACGAAGTGCTGTTCCAACACGTGTCCGGTAGGCGCGCTCTTTTCACGCCAAGGTAGTCATGGCTCTCGAAGTTCGAATCGACATAAACCCTCCCATCTTAGGAGGAACAGGGGACCGCGACGAAAGGAGCCAAGTGCCAACGGGCATGAGAGATCGATCCGGAACCACCTACCAGCATGTCATGGAGTGACATTCACAGTTTACATTTATCACAACATGTTTTTGGGTACTACCCCCCACCTCACAAAACCTACCAATTTGGAGTGCTTTGTCATGCCTGTGCTACGAGCTTTGTTTCAGGAACCCAAGCTTTGTCCTTTGCCGCCTTTGTACCTTTCCGAATGTAAAATGACATTGATTTGCAGACTTGCATAACACATATCACATATCATCATGCAAGAAATTGCTTGTGCCTGTTGAGTCTTCTTTTCGGCCGCAAGCAAGAGCAACCGCAATTCATGAACGTTTTTACCTACTCGATGAACTCGTGTTTGTAGTGTTTTTTGGCTACTCGATGTCTTAACCAGGTAGTGTTCATAATGTTGTCTGGACAAGTTCAAGTTCCAATGTTGTGTTAACCACGAAGGTTGTTGAGCGCTGGCAGCCAAAAGCAGGAAGTTCCTCAAGACTACGACAGTTATTTAGAGAGAGAGAGAGAGGCGCTAGTCAAGGATGGAAGGGCTGTAAAAAGAGAGCAGCTCATCAAAGGGAGAGCAACAGGCAAGGGCATTGAAGAGGAGGAGTAAATCAGCACAGCGCAGGATTCGCGGAATGGAGAACTTTGAAGAAGGGACAGCCACAGGAAAAAAAAGAACGGCTAGTTCAGAAATGGTGGACAAACTATCAAGACCTAGTTTACAAACTGTTTTTTGCAGGCAACTCTGTATATTTGTGAACTCGCTTGCAGTTTTTTTGGAAAAAGAGAAACCCTAGATCCGGCTGTTGAAGGCCTAGGGCACCCACTTCTCTTTGAGAAGAAGGTAAGAGGGGGTGGGCTATCAGAGGGCCTAGGGTCTAATTTATAGCTTCTGGGGAGGCGCAGGGAACCGTAGAAGAAGAAGCGTGATGGCTGCACCCCTCCCTACTGAAGCCTATCCAGGAATAGTGGACCACCTGAAAAAAAACAACATGACACCCAACAATCTAGAATCTGGAGCGCCTCCTTTTGTGAGGACGCAAAGAGCACAAACCAGGCCAGGGACGAAAGGGTTGAAATGATCTGCTCAAAGGCTCGCACCCAGGTGTTCAAAGGTTCATGGTTCATGCCCTTTGTTCCGAGTAGTTTCTTGTTACTAGTAGCAAGGCCCGGAGCTACTAGTAGCGTACTTGCTCCTGGTAGTAATTAGTTTCTTGTTACTAGTCGTAAGGCCAGGAACTACTAGTAGCGTCCTTGCCCCTAGTAGATGCCCTTTGTTCCTAGTAGTTTCTTATTACTAGTAGTAATTAAGTCTAGGAGCTACTAGTAGCGTCCTTGTTCCTAGTAGTGATGCCCTTTGTTCCTAGTAGCTTCTTGATACTAGTAGTAAGGCCAGGAGCTACTAGTAGCGTCCTTGCCCCTAGTAGCGATGCCCTTTGTTCCTAGTAGTTTTTTGTTACTACTGTAACCTGTAGTAGTAATTCAGGCTAGGAGCTACTAGTAGCGTCCTTGGTCCTAGTATCGGTGCCCTTTGCTACTAGTCTAGCTTCTTGTTACCAGTAGTACGGCCAGGAGCTACTAGTAGCGTCCGGCTCCTGGTAGCGATGCCCTTTGTTTGATTCCCGCCGTTGGCTAGATGTTTGTTGCCTTTGGCTAATGGAAGATACGAACGTTTGAAGCGCCTAGCTAGCTGTTTGCAGGTCACCTGCCCGGAGCAACCTACACACTGAAAAAGGTCTTATAAACCGGACACCCCGACAGGAAGCGCCATGCAGCGCGGGTATGTTGTTCCAATACTGTGTTTGGAATTTGGAATGATGGATTTTGCCACCTCCCCATTTCCAAAATCAGAAAAATATTATTCTTTCTAGGTGGAAAAAACGATGAGGTACACAGTGTACACATACTTGAGCCTGAGTGACCTGTGTTTTGACAAGAAAAGACCACGTTTCGGTCGTTGGTTGTCCGAAGTAGAGGTCACTCAGGCTCCAGGTTCTTTCAATAAGATTTTAACTGAAGCACTTGCCAGGCGATCCAACGAACATTATCAATTCATGCATCCTGCCTTTTAGAAGTGCCTTCCAGGGTGTTCGTTTAAGAAAGTCGTATGATTTTCGTGAAATTTGGCACTACCTCCTATTGAAGTGCGAGTCGCTGTCGGTACTGCAAGACTGCAGGATGGACCCTTTTGACCCTAAAGACTATACCTTTGGTCCCTCGATGTATACCGTCACCGAGCAATACATTAAGCCAGTGACCGCCGCTGCTGGAAATGTCAGTTGGGTGTCTCAGCTGACCAAAATGTGTTATATATTTGTTTGATTTATTTTTGTGGAGTAGGTGTGAGAGGCATTCAAGAAGCATGCCTAGTCAAAGGATGTCAGTGGAGAAAATCGTGCCAGCCTAATTACACGGTGCAGCCCCTCGCCCGCCATGTCCAGCGGACACCTCCAGCATCCACCCTCACACGACACCAACTAGAATGCCCAAAAAGACGGACGGCCCAAAGGGATGGTGTGTAGTCCCCAAGTGAGTGGATAATGGGCACCCCTAACCTTCATTAAGCACCCCTTTGTGACTGCTGGCCTGAGTAGGTTTGTTGCTTAGGCTGCCCAAGCTGCCCAACTGAGGCGTTGATGAAGAATCCCGATGGCTTACCGTGCGACGTTTTCATCACGCATGCTTGGGCTGAAGGTATTTATGAATTCGTGGACAAGGTGGTTGAAACCTGGCCACCTGGTGGACGAGCAGCCTATGTGTGCTTCTTATCGAATCCGCAGAACTTGGACATTTGCGATTTGATTTCTACACCTGAGGAATCTCCATTTGCGAAGGCTTTGGACTCCTGCAAGCACGTCCTTGCAGTCCCAAATCGCACATTCAGCATCTACTCAAGGCTTTGGTGCGTTTATGAGGCGTTTCTGGCTTACTCTTGGAACAAGCCCATCACCAATGCAAAATCATGTGAAGCTCATTCTTGAATGTGCGTTTGTTTGCTTCGTTTTGAGCTGCTCCATGTACTTGAAGAGCTGCAATATACTAATACTATACTCAGCTGCTGTCCACTTGTCCACTATACTGTACTTTGTGTTGCGGCTTTGGTTTCTCCAAGGATTTCAATGCCAGGGCCTACTTGCTTCGGATGGCCTTCATCACCCATGGGAGCTTTGCCGCAGGTTTGCTGTTGCCACTGGCATTTATGAGGAAATGCATCTTACCGGTCACCATCCTGACCATCCCGTTCATGTTTTTGTTCCTCCTCTCATTGTCCTTGGGTCAGTGTGGTGGCTAGCCTTGTAAAAGCCAACCTTTTTAGACAGACTTAAAAAAACCCGTCGTGGCGCTTGCCCGAACCAAGAATCGGAAGTTCCAAGCCTCCAAGCCCGTCCAATCCCTTCAGCCGAGACTCTCCTTCGCATGTGAGGTGGATACAAATATCATTTGCAAAAGTTTGCAGTGATTGGCCTCACTGTAGTGTGCAATGTGAGCTACGCTGGTAAAGTGACCATGGGTTATGTCTTGTTCGAGGAAAACTGGCTCTTCGCACTGGAGTACGTCTCCATGGGTCTGGTTGGAACCATTGCGATGGAGAGCAAGGGACGTGTTGTTTGATGTTTCCTTGGAGGTTAAAGCTTGGCCCTTCATAGACCACCCAAAGATCTAAAGTACCCAATCCGTGGCTATTGGTATCCAGGAGTTGGACCGGCTGCACTCTGTGATGGCAGATGAGGCGGCTGAAGACCTTCGCCGAGGCTTCAGTGGACGTTTGTCGGATGCAGGTTGTTCAGTGGAAGCTGACAAGCTGAAGATCCTGGAGGAAGTGAAAAGGAGCGGCCATGAGACTCTTGTCCCAAGCATGCCGTCAAATCACGTCTCCTGTTCTTTTGGCGGTGGCGCGAAAGACCCAGCTTTTACCGGTTCTACCATGTGTTTGTGCTTTTGATCGGTCTTATCTCGTATGTGTGTGTGTGTGCAGTGGCGGGGTGCTGGGTCTTGTGGCCGTTGAGCTACACAAGAGAGCTACTCCGGACTCAGCTGGAAACCAGTTGAGCTCAAGGCATCGGCAACATGGATGGTGCAATATGCAGGCGCTAAAGAAATATCATACACTGATATATACTGATATATAACTGATATATATATATATTATATATACTATATATATACTGTATCTATTTTAGAGACAGAGAAAGGCCTGCAAAATATCCATCATCATCCAGTGATTGGTAGTGGGATATGCCCAATGGATGGACATCTTGCTGGTTGCGGAAGGTCCGATTGTGCAGAGTTTGCCGTTGCCTTCAGGAGTGGCACTGTGATAAGGATCACAAAATAGTATGCACATGTAAATGTGGCCGTTTCTGAATACAGTGTTGACATTTTTTTCCGCTTCAGTGCGTTTTTTTGACTTTGTTTTAACTTACAGTACCCATTTGGTCTCAGTTCAGAATGGCTTGGGGAGGAATTAACGTTTCTTTTTTTTTGTGTGTGTGTTCCGTTGATTGAATAGCCAGGAAGGATGTTGAAGAAGCCGTGAAAGTGCTGATGAAGATGAACATCTCAACACCTGAGCTCAGGGCTACTGTTGAAAGAACCGGAACTCTGACAGATGCTTCCCACTGGAGTCGTGCCATTCTTGCTGTGGCTTTCATTGCATTCCCAGGCCAAACTCCTTTCGTACTGCTTAAGTATGGACACTACGTGCTTGGGATGGAATACGGATCCTTTCTCCATTACCTGTTGATCATCATCTCGGCAGTAGAGGCGCTGGCTTTTGCATACCTTTTCATGGTCCTACCTCCAGACCGGAAAGCCTTTGCTGCACGAGTGCAGTCTCTTTGGTTGCTGCTGTTTCCTGCCAAAATCTTTCTCTTTACGGATGGAAACGGCTTGGATGGTCATGGGCATCCTTTGTATTACGTGGTGTTGGTTGTCTATCCCTTACTGCTGCTGGCCATGTCAATCATGGGGCCTGCCAAGATGGCGCGGATTCCGTTCTTGGGGCCACGATTGGTCCGCTTGGTCTTTGGCAAACCGCTGTGCCTCAAGAGGTTCGGGTGCTGTGCGAGGAAACGTCAGACGGCGCAGACCAACCAAAAAACTCCATTGCCATTGTATTTCTATGGTTTTTTCGGAGAAGTGGAGGTTTTGACAGCACCGCGTCGATTTCCAGTGCTTGAGCATATTTGAGCTCAAAGGCAAAAGAATTTGTTTAAGTTTAAAAACAGAAAGGTCAGAAAGTACCTTTCTGTTGGTCACAAACAAGTGTCTTTATCAAGTTTGAGCTTGGTCAGTTGAACAAGCTGATTGCCGCCCAGAAAGTGCATGCTTGGAGTCTATACATGACTATGTACAGTGTGCAGGTTCGATGGCTCAAAGAAGCCAAGGCATTCGAAGGAAGCTGGAATTCGATGTGTCAGAAAAAAGGCCAACAGCCGACTCGCTGGAATTCATGTCAGTGATCCACGGTGTGGCATCAACTGTTGAAGGCTGTTCCATAAGTGGGTTGGAATTCGAAGACAGGAAGCCTTGGGCAGGTCAGGTCAAGTCGGGATTTTCCTAGAAATATGCTAGCCTGCCAAATGCCTGTGATCAGGACCTTGGGTCACTAGTCCAGCTACCCGCCCAGTATAGAGATCTTGCCACTGAAGGCAGGACTTATCTAAGAAACAGCTGCAATGTACGTGGGCCGTGTTCGGATTCAAGATCGACCTGTCAAGTCAGATTCTCCCAATGATTTGAGCTGCGCAGGGGGAAGTTTTATGGCTTCTCAGTTTGTGCGGCGTCAGCGGCGTCAACGACCTGGTGCCTTTATGTGACCTTTGTTTTGGAGCATCAACCACCCATCATATGGCCCAACTTCCGTATCAAAACAGAGGTCGCTTGCGGGCTCGTTGGGTACAGAAAGGCGGCTTCATGGCTGAAGTTCAGAGTGTGCAAGAGGGGTCACGATATCAGGGTGAAGAGGGCAGGCACTTTCTCACAGATTTGCATCGATCAGAATAGATTTATAGAAGTTAGATACCACAAAGATGGTAGAGATGTCACTTTTTCTTGTCCTTGGCCGTTTTCAGCCATCCACTTCTTGGCTTCCCATCGCCATTGCCGCCATCCCGGATGCGACCATCGTTGTGCGCCGATGTTGTGCGACCATGAGGACCGCGCCGTGGGCCTTCTGGTCCTTCTGGTCCTTCTTCCTGCCTTGCTGGGGAAGCAAATGTCAAGGATTTCGCACGGACTTCTGTCAGGATCCGGAGTCTCAATGCCAGATCCTCGGACCAGTTTTGTGAGGATCCGGGCGGTTTCAGGTTTTGGTGCGTTCTTTGGAGTGAAACTAACATACATATATAGTTACTGTATAGTCGTCATTGTGAGTTGCTTATGTGTGTTATTTATGTGTGCCACCAAGTGATTCATCGAGTAAGGACTAGCTCCCACGAGCATTGTCAGTGTGCCGAAGGCCATTTCCCACAGATTGATGGCTTGACAGAGCAAGGAGTTCACTTCGGATGTTGCCCAGGGCATGGCATCATTGCATGTGGCCCGCAAGCAGCTTCAATCAGAACCTTCGCGCAGGTGTTCTTGTCACAGTCTCTGAATCTAGCCTTTGAATTAAACCAGTTTCATCCTTCTTTTCATCGAGATTTGTTTCGAGGTCCCTGGGGTCGCATGCTAGTGGATGCACCTGGTGCACCCGGTCCTTTCTCAAGTCTGATCTCCCTGACTAACCCGGAGGATGTGCATTGTGCTCACGACCTGGGTGATTCACAAGAGGCAACGGAAGGCCTCGCGGATCGAGCCAGGGGACTCTGAGATTGAAGCTTCACCCCAGGTCCATGATGGTGCCCAGTTACACGCAGCTTGAGCTGAACAGAAGATGTTCAAAGACCCTACCCAGGAAAAGTGGAGAACCTTCAAGCTTTCTAGGGGAATGTTGGTTTCCCTGGTCAAATCGAGTGTTTTTCTCATCAAACACCACCCCCACTTCTTTCGACAGTTGTTGCGCTACACTCGATCCTTGTTGCACCTCCCACCTTTTCTGTTCAAACCAAGGCAGAAGTTCCAATTGAACGCTGGTGCGTTAGCCTGGCGGATCTCAAGCAGTTCAAGCGATTGGTGGGTCAGGCAGTCACCCACGGCCGCATCAAACCGACCGAGAGCCTCGGCGAACAAAACACCCAGCTCAGTGTACTGGTGAGGGCCAAGTGGGGGGGCCGCTTTCTGCGCAGGAAAAGGCTGCAGCTCAGAGTTCCTTTTTGGAGCATGCAGCATTGCACCTGTGTTGAAAGCATTTCAAGTTGAGACCATTGGACCGGACCATTTCTGGCCGATCCAGTTCAGCTTTACACCTAATCCTACCAAGGTGAAGGCTTTTGTGGAAAGCCAAGTGAGTTGAATTTGTTGACCAACTTTACCTCCCCTGGGTATACGTATACTCTTAGACCCTGAGTCCCAAACTGGTTCATAGGAGATTTACTATTACACCCCCCTAAAGACGAAGGCCTGGGTAAAGGCCTTAAGAAGAAGATCCGTTCGTCCAACCTGGAGGGACGCCCTCCGCCCCTCAGGAGGGACGCCTTCGACCCCAAAGACCAGACCATCGGCCCTTCCATGTATACCGTCACCGAGCAATACATCAAGCCAGTGACGGCCGCAGCTGGAAATGTGAGCTGGGTGTCTCAGACCTGAAAAGATGGGTTCTTGAAGACAGAGTAGATTGCTAGGTCTACCACTCCCTGAAATCATCATGGAAGTGGAACATGGCCCCACTGTATGACCATGTTGATCTGCAAACCAGTGGCTTTTCACTTCCGTGGTTGTTTCAGGAACTGTAGTAAGGACAGTTAGGGGGCTAGTTCCACCATGTTCCAACTTCCAGCCATGGGCCTTCTTTAAAAACAAGATACTTTCAAGATCTTTTATATAAGTGTGGTTCCTGAGGAGTGTAGTGGATCAGGATGTTTGGGGATTGTTTGGGGGTAGTTGTTCCAGCATGTGTCCAACCTTCACAGAAGCCTTAAAATTAGATCAAGCACTTTGTCATGACAGCTAGCTGTAGCGACCAGGATATGTTGCGACTTCACGGCCTGGGCTTTGCTGCCAAAAAGGCTCCCACCGCCCCGGGCCACCAGTCATGAACAAGGCTTCTTTGTTTCAAATTCAATCTGTGAGGCTTTGATGAAGAATCCCGATGGCTTACCGTGCGACGTTTTCATCACGCATGCTTGGGCTGAAGGTATTTATGAATTCGTGGACAAGGTGGTTGAAACCTGGCCACCTGGTGGACGAGCAGCCTATGTGTGCTTCTTATCGAATCCGCAGAACCTGGACATTGCCCATTTGATTTCTACACCTGAGGAATCTCCCTTTGCCAAGGCTTTGGGCTCCTGCAAGCATGTCCTTGCAGTCCCAAATCGCACATGTAGCATCTACTCCAGGCTTTGGTGCGTTTATGAGGCGTTTCTGGCTTATACTTCGAACAAGCCCATCACCAATGCAACATCATGCGAGGCTTATCTCAAGCTTTAAGAACATGTTTAGTTTGCGTGGTTGCATGTTTCAACCCGAGTGTTGCTAGTCAGCTTGGGGGTATCTTTTGTGGGCGCTAGCCAAGCAGTCAGAGAGTTTCTGGCTACGACGTTCGATTCGAGACATTCATGAGAGTTGAAGCAATTGCACTAATGCCAAGTCCTGACAGATCCCGGCACCATAAATCGATAGGTTCTGCTCTTGCATGTGTTTGTCGGGCAAGCAGCGATTCCCAGCGTCAGCTTGGCGAGTGTATGTGGAACAGCTACCAGTTTGGTCTTCTTTCATGTCCTGGTCATCCAGAATTTGTCACCATCTTCCGCGTTACCCCAATGGATGATGTACCACCAGACGGTGGACCACCCACGGATGGGTCAGGTGGCGGTCACGCCGACGAACATCACCGGACTCACGGTTCGGCCTCGAAGGTCCCCTGGAAAACTGAGCGATCGGACGTTGGCCTTCAGTTCGGCCATGAAAAGAGTTCGACTGACCTGGTTTAGTCTGAAATCCTTCGTAAAACAAGGGTTGATTGGCAGAGACGATCAAAGAATCTTGGAGTCCTAGAGCCCTAGAGTTTGACCCCCTTTTCAAGCACCCTGGTCGCGTTTGGGAAGAGCTCCGCCGGGTATGGCCGGAGAGAACAGTGCTTTAAGCCTTGAAATGCCTTGAACAGTTCTCCGAGGATATCAATACCTGGGCTTACCTTCTGCGAATTGTCGGCATCAGTCAGGCAAGTCTCTCCGCTGCTTTGCTGCTGCCATTGAGGTTTGCGGTGATGCTGTCCGTGCCATTCACCATCCTGGTGCCAGTTCCATTTATGGTGCTTTTCCTCCTCTCCTTTGGCCGTTGTGGCGACTAAGCCCAAGCAAGTCAACTTTCCAACTCGGCTTCTTTGGGATCTGGGGGGGTTTTGGCGGGTCGAGCGCCACGGATGAGGTGGCTACAAGCCCCTTCTGCAGAACTTGGGAGTGCTCGGGGTGACCCTCACGGCCAATGTGGGCTATGGTTGTGCAATCATCACCGGCCGGGCGTTGTTCGAGCACAATTGGCTTTTCGCCCTGCAGTACATCTCCTTGGGCTTCTTCGGCACCCTTGGGATGGACGCTGATCTTGTTCGTTGAAACCGGTGGAATGGGGAATCGGCCAACACGATGGAAGTGGATCTTCCCTCAAGTCTTCCAGGGGATTTAAGTGCGGCCACCTTCCACTTCCATGTGCATCGACCTACTGAAAGTGTGCATCGACCTTCTGAAGTGGAGATCCTGTAGAGGGGACTGCTAATTCATGGTATATGTCTGAACTACCCCGCATTGGTTGGAAATCAAAACCCCACATGCATAAGCTTAGAGCATCCGGCAGGATGTCCAACTGGAGGAGAGAGCCCGGTCCCAGGATGGTCCTCGCTGGAATATGTAATCTTCATTGAACGCTTAAATATCTTCAAATAACTATGCATACTATAGCTACATCTATCTACTTTTCTAGATCTATATAGTATACAGGCGCAACAATGGCCGTTCCATGGAATTATATGTTCCTACACTTTCAAACCACCCATCCATGGGACGGTCAATGTTGCCAAGTTCGATGTTGAGCGATCTTCTAGCTACTACTAGTGCCCTATAGGTGACCTGCCCCATTCGCGCTGCCCGTCGCCACGCCTGAAGACCGTGCCTAGACCGTACGTTTAGGAGCTCGACCGCCTGAACTCCGTGTCGGCCGATGCGGCCGCCCTGAACCTCCGCCGTGGCTTCACCGGGCGCCTGTCGGATGCTGACTGCTCCACGGAGGCGGATCGGCGGAAGATCCTGGAGCAAGTGAAGAAGAGTGGACATGAGAAGCTGGGGCCTAAGAAGAGAAATTACTCTACCTATCTCGAGTGATCCCCACCCTGATGACCCTGTGAGATAAAACCTAACAACCCTCACCTGGCAGGTGGGGAATTATAGAGACAAATCCCTTCATGACAGGAGTTTTACATGCCCGAGGTGTTTTTGTTCCGGTCCCCTTGCGTGAGTGGATGTTTGGGCACTCCCTGCCCTCCAATAAGCACCCCTTCTTTGAGACTGCTGCTCGACAAGATGTTGAGGAAGTTGTTGTAGATCAAAAGTCCGCAATTATGAGATTCACCTGGTCATGAAGAATGCTATTAGATTGCAAGTTCAACCATTGGGGAAGATGCCATCCCTCGGTATTTGGCAGCTTTGAATCCGTTTAACAAGATCTTGCGTGTCCATCGTGGTCTGTGAGCTTTTTGAAAGGAGTCTTTTGAGTCTGAACTTGTCTACCCCTAGACCTTCAAACTCTGCCCCTAGAGGCATTCACTGTACTCGAACCATGGATATATGTTTCCCCCTAGCGAACGTGAGGACTTCCATGGATGGTGATGGTCCTAGCAGCATAGAAGGCTGAGGAAGACCACGGAAAACCGCGGTTGCTTTTTTTGTGCGACGGTGGGTGGTACGTCTTTCACGATGTGGCTGCCACCCCTTCGGACAGATGGGAGCTCAAGACAGGAAAGCCACCTCTGTAGGATTCCAAGCGCCACTGCTTGAATGGGTTTTAACGGACAAACTGGTTTACTATACAGTATAAAGGATTATGAACTACAGAACTAGGTCAACCTTTCCTTTAATGGTCTTGGAAGGCTAGGGACCGGCTTCTTCCAGGGTAGTGGCCCAAGATCTGTTGTTTTGAACTGCCAGGAAGGATGTTGAAGAAGCCGTGAAAGTGCTCATGAAGATGAACCTCTCCACACCTGAGCTTCGAGCGACGGCCGAACGCACTGGAACTTTGACGGATGCGTCCCACTGGAGTCGCGCCATTCTTTCGGCCACGTTCATTGCATTCCCGGGCTTTAGGCCTTTCATCCTGCTCAAGTATGGACATTTAGTCTTTGGGATTCCTGGCGATCAGCGGATCAAGCGATTTTTTATGGGTTAAATAACCGTTGACCGCTGGGGAAGGTGTGTGATATTTTCCAGGTTCCTGGGAGCCAATCCAAGGATCGAGTACGGACATTGGTTCCAAGGCCTGTTGATCATCATTTCCACCTATGAAGCCGTGGTCTTCCTGGCTCTGTTTATTGTTTTGCCGGACGATCGGAAAGCCTTCGCAGCACGCGTTCAGTCTCTTTGGTTGGTCCTTTGGCCTGTACATGCCCTGGGCGGTAGCAACAATCGATGGTTCCACACCGTGTCCGTGCTTGTGCCACTCGGCTTCTTATGGAATCGCCGGAGCTGAACTTGGAACCGATCTGTCTAAACGTTAGAGAAGAGCCTTCAACAAGAAAGATGTGGAGCAACAAACCCTTTGGGCTACATATCTAATGCTCATTGGTTGTTGAGACTTGTCAAAGTTAAGCTACCCTTAGGCCTGATTCATTCAGCGTGTTGTTCTCGCAAACGAGACCATGTCTATCGGGGCCTAAGACGTGGGAGATGAATGGAGATATGTCTAACTCCCGTCCTTAGGGCGTCACTAGTGGCCAGTCGCTGGCATAGCAACTCCGGCTTGGCTTCAGGTATTGCCCCCTGCTGCTGGCCATTTCAATCATGGGACCTGCAAGCACGGCACAGATCCCCTACGTGGGACCTCACTTTGTTCGCTTGGTCTTCGGAAAGCCGCGCTGCCTTCGGCGCTGCGCGCGCGGTGCGCGCCGCAAAGCGACTTCGAGTCCGGAAGGAGGAAGCATTCCTGAGAAGGAAAAAGCAGAAGACCTGCCCATGGTCTGACAGAGATGGATGAGAAGCATGTCATATTGTTGGCATCCTCTTTGTTGTTTAGGACCTCGTTTAGGACCTCTCTGGTTCAGGAGCTCGGCTTCCAGTCGTTTCACCAAGGTGTTCTCACCCACTTTAGTCTGAGGAACTGCTGGGATTGAGAAGGTTGCACAGTCGAAAGCTGACAAGACGCATAGCATGCAATATATATATCAACATCTGTAAATTCAATTTAAGATCGATGAATCGTATAACCTTAAAAGCGAGGATTTCTGGACCAGTGCAGAGTCATGAAGCGCTCAAAGAAGCTCGGAACACCTGGGCCTAGCGCAGCTTCTGCAGGAGGAATTCGATCAGATGCGGGCAGTATTGCGACAGTCAAACCCCTTGGCAACACGGCTCCGAAAAAAAAAAAAAAAAAAAAAAACTCACATGGAGGCTTTCTCAGATCCGATATATATATATATATTATATATAGATACGACCGTCCTGGAGAGGATATAGTCAAATGAACCGCTCCAAAACATGATGTTGCTTTCGATTGTGTGTTGCACTCTTCCATGTTCCACCACGATATTCCAGGATGATTAGACAGCGGTGTAGCGCTCGGACGGCTAAAATTTACTAAAACCTTTGCTGTCGCCATTGAGGGTCTGTCGCAAACTCTCCGGCACTGAGTTTTGCACCTTCCGCTCTCCCTTGGGCTCACCGTCATTCAATCAAGAGTGATTCGGAGCTACTGGGAGCTAAAAGAAAACACACCTAAGCTGCTTATGACATGTTATCCCAGACCACCCATGTATGGCTTATACATGGATTGAGTCACCGGGTGTGTCATCACATAAATAGCCTAGCGGGAGGAACGCCGAGGAAATTCCGGTGATGATGGAGCTCGACGAAACAGAGTGGTGCCCGTTGGCCATTTGGCAGAGACAGGCATCAATTCGGTCGATCCCTGTTCCTACACTTCGGAATCCGCTCTCGCAAGTGTCAATATCGAATGGGGGCAACTGTGCCGATCGGATGGATATGGGATACCGCCCACCTATTGGCCTTCCGAAGGACCCACTGCCGGTGCGGTACGGCGGTTCGACCCAGGCGCATAGTCTGCATAGTCGATACATACGACTATAATGTCTCCAATCACCGTACCTCAGAAGGTGGCAGTGGATCCATCATTCATCATCCTTTTTGGGGATACAGTTCAAAAGGATTGGGACCCCCAAGTCAGTCACCTCTAAAAACAGAGACTCTCGCTCCGATAACGCCACTGGAAGCTTGCCCCCCAAGAAAGCGGGCGTGAAGCCTTGGCCTCGACTCGAATTGACTCCGACCCCTGAATTTTTTGTTGGAACCCTGGGCCCTTGGGGATGATTGGGCCCGATCCGAGGAAATCTGGCCATCTTCATGTGAAGTGTGTGGGTCGATTCCACCAGCATCCGGCCAGTCCCGGACGGAAAAACCACACGCACGAAGCTCCGCACGAAGCACTCGCTCCGCAGGCCGGTGGGTGTCCAGCTGTGACGTGTAGGCGCGGCGTGGGGCGATGGGAGGAGTGGGACGCGGGAGACCTTTTTGTGGGGAATTGGGAGAACTGGGGACGCCCAACTAAACGAAAACAGGCGGAAAAAACAGTGGATAAGCTGCAACCGTTTTTTTTTGCAGGGAAACTGAGGGAGCGGGAGTGAGTCAGGATATGTAATTAGATGTGTGTAGAGTTTTTGTTGGTAGTTGGATGCATGCAGGTGTGCTATGGAAAGATGCTAGACATAGTTGAGCTTCATGTGCTACTGGTTGGCCAACTGCATGCTTTGGGAACATATTTAGATGCTCCTTTGAGCTGCCGACTGCCGACCTGGCTCTACAGAATAGCCATTCCGGGGGGGTGTCGCCCGTACAGTCAGAACATGTCAGAACCAAAGACGTATAGCTACGCTCACCTATCAACTCTTCACGAACCCGTTGCGGAATCTTGTCGCTCTGCTTTCTGGCATTTCCGGCTTTCCTACCCCTGAAGCTGATGGCTTGTAGTGATTCCGTTCGGGTGATGGCTTTCAAGTGCCAATTGCACCAATCAAGCAATCCCTAATATACAAGTACAGTAGACAAGACTGTAGACAGTAAATCCTGGTGTGTCTCAGATTCTGAGATTCTGGATGACTCTACTGGCACCTTTGAGCTGTTTGGATTCACTTAGAAGCCAGGCACCGCTGATCCTTCAAGCAGCCCGGCAGATCCTTCAAAGCGCTTTCCTGGGATTCCAAATGCCATTGTTTTCGTTTTCATGGTCTTTACCGTTCGCAGCTGCGAAAAAAGGGGCCTCCAAGACTCCAAGCCAAAGATCGAAGCTGAGTAGGTATTTGGTCTTCCAAACAAAAGAAGAGAGGTCAAACATGGGCCCGGGACCTTTGCTCCGCACCTCAGACATCTCTGGCTCGTTTTGGCCCTCGATCATGGGCGACAGACATCGAAAGCAACACCGTTGGGTGGAAGCCAAGTTTGGAAGCTTCAGAAGCTCGGCCTTGAGGCCAAACAACACCAATTGATGGGTTGGAATTCTTGAGCCAGCTTCTACGGCAGCACTGTTCAAGCCAAACAACAAGCTGGATGTATCAATGTCCAGAGCCCATGGACATAGAGAAGGGCTGATCACATGACAATTACTTAGAAAGTACTTAGCAAAACACCATTCAACACCCCAAACCCACCCTAGCTGCCCTAGCCATGGCAGAAAGGACAGGCCCTCAAAAAGTCCAAGACTTGGACAGGAAAACCCATGCCGTTCGCCCGTGGCGTGCCATGCGCGCCCGCCATCGCGGCACCGTGCCGTGGTTGGAAGCCCACGCGTGGCCATGGCACCGCCCAGGTGCGAAATGGGCGAGGAGAGGAGGTGAAGTAGAACAACCACATCGCAATGTTTTTGGCACTCATAGTGTCAGAACATGGGGGGTACCTTAAGGAAAAGGGGGGGTATCTAAGGCCCCACCCATGTCATATATACGAACTGTTTGGACATCGGTTCTTTGCAAACTCGCCAGTCCGTCCGGACTCAATCCACCGCTCGAGGAGGAAGTATCAGGGCTTTGGGGCCAGCCTGGCCAGCGCTAAGCCAGCGGTCTTACGTTGGCGCGCAAACCATCTACCCACCCCGATCGCTTTTCAGCGATTGTGGTAGAAATGAGATGTATTAGGGGAAGTATAATAATTTGTGTTTAAGGGGAATTGTTTTTGGTGTTGACTTCATGTGTTCCACAGTCTACCAAGACTGGTGTTATCATTCACCACTTGCAAGACCATTGGTGAACTTCAGAAGACACCAATCCTAAAGCCACCAGATTCCAATTGAATTGACAGGGCCGATGGTTGCTTTTTAAGGATGTTTTTGATGGCCTGATGGCCTGTTCCCCCAAAACCAGAGGATTCCATCCGTTGGCTCGCACGGTTGCTGCCAAAAAGCACTTGTGGTCGTTCAGGAGGCAGTGCAAATTGGCCAAGTTGTTCCAGGTCCTTTTTCTCAAGAACCTCCCAGAACCGCAGACAGCACATGACAGCACGCCAAAGCACACCCCCCCAAAAGCAATAAACCAGAATTTCCAGGCTTGTTGGTACCGTGCTGAATTCACCCTCGATTTCGCTTCCGGAGCCAACCCTCCAATTCCGCCCTCCACTGCGATTGCTCCACGGCGTCGCCCGGTGTTACGTAGGTCTTCAACGAAGAAGCCCTATGGCCGCTTGCCGACCGATGTGATCCTGCCACAAGCAGTGCCTGGAATCAAGGGATCCCGTGTGGTGGAAAGCACGTGCTGTGGTGTGGGCGCAGAGGTGGAGAATGGTGGAGAATGGTGGAGATGGAGAGGAGGTGTGTGTCCAAGCCGGAAGCTGAATCAGTCAAGAGCACATTCAGTGAAACGACCATCGGTCCCAGCATGAAACCTATGGGAAAGCAACGGTATGGATCCACGTGTACCTATCACGTGGATCATCCATGCCACACAAACCTCTCAAAGCTGGTGATGTAGTGACATGTTCCGATGGATTCAACGCATGTTCGACGCATGAGCATTTTTGGCACATTTGTTGGGGCTTGGATTCCATCCCCTGTGTTCTTGGGCACGGACAAGGGTGCATTGACTGGGGTGATGTCCACAACTTGCCTCTTGCATCGTGAAGATTATGCTCCAACTCTGCGTGTCACATTGTGTTTTTTTCTGCCCGTATCATGTTGTGGCATGTCTCGTTCACAGTCGATTGAACACTGAAAACAGATATATCCAGGTCCAGCAGATCTTTGTAGGAAACCATCCGTCTTGTTCGGCACCAGCCAGCTTAGCTTAACCATGCTTAACCCATCAGGATGTCGATGAAGACCTTGCGAGCTTCTATGTCTTCCGCGACGACATCGCTTCTTTGCTCGAAGAGGAATGGCTGGGCCACTTCCTGTCAGTGACCGATGCAGACTGATTTATACACTCCCCGTGGAATTCGCCGTCATTCCGCGCGCGCGCGAAACCCAAACCAGGTGATGTTCCCCATCTCCTACTCGATCCCGAAGGCGGGCAGCGCCGCGGGCAGCGCGCAGCGCGCTTGATTTGCGATCCACGTACTGCATGGGGAGAGGCGTCCGGAGCACCGTCCCCACCGGAACGAGGAGCTCCGAAGGGTCGAGAGCAAGGCTGCAGCGATTGATGAGCTAGTGCTTTGGGGGGGGTTTGGGAATTGAGATGGTGGTGCAAGACCTTGCGCAAGCACATGTATCTTAGGAGCTTGCAGAAATTCACATGATACTCGTAGCTGTTAGCTGATTAGCTGAGGGGCACCGATGCTGGAAGCAGACGTTCCATGATGGTCCCAGGTCTAAAGTCTAGCAATACGGATCTTTGACTAGGCGGGTTGGCATACAAAGCATACCGGCAAATCCGTTCTGGCGGTTCTGAGGGACATGGCCAGGCGCGCAATGCGGAGAGAACCCCTGCCTGATTTGAGGGCAAGAGAAGTTTGCTTTCAGTTCTAGA